TTGACATTTTGGTAAAGGGCAATTATGTTAAACAGATGGTACGGAAATTGAACGAAATTGTTTGTTGGGTTTAAATTCAGTACTTCCTAATTATTGTACTGTTTACATATATGCTTTGAGGAAATTATGTCTAAATTAATAATAGTTAATCAGTTTTAGTTTCTTCTATTTCTAATTTTGATAGTATTAATTAATATATTATGGTTGATTCTGGATAATATATATAACCAACATTTATAGGTTACTGTAAAGTATTGCGGAAAATGTCATTATTCATGGTATAAGCATATCGTGATTTTTCTATCGACAAAAAGTAAACGGAAATAAAATGATCGATAAATTTTCAACTATTATATATGTAACCTATATATCAAGAATTTGTAATAAAAAAAATAACCAACCGAAAGATTTATTATCAAATAATCTAAAGTTCACTTGTGCCTAAGTATATAAATGTCTACTATCCAATTAAAATAGACAGTACAGTATAACAATATCACCAAAAATGAAGAATAGCAACTGCAATTTGTCTTTCCCAGATAATTGAAGTTTCCTTAAGACTGACTGAAGCAAATAAGATTCAGTAGTGAAAAATCAAAATAGCACCGGAATATGTTGCCACCTTTCAAAAAAGGATAACAAAAGTCCGATATAAGAAACTTTATACCATTCATTGGCAATAAATTTTCAATTCTATTGTTTAGGATAGATTGTCCAAGTAAATGCGTGAATGAATAAAGTTCAATCAAGTTATTATTTCTGTATCTGTACTGGTGGAGAATAATAAATCGCAAAATGGATTTACTAAATATAGATTCCTTTTCTGTTTAAATAGGGCAGGTATTGATTATTTATAGCTATGTATATTTGATTATACACCGGTAGCAAAGATATATAGCAAATAGCAATGAGATAATTACCAAGACATAACGTACGGATGTTAATTCGAGTGTAAATACTGTTCAAACTGCCAGTGTGAATTATTTATATTATTGCATCAAGCCAGAGAGTAGAAATGCTTTTGTAGCTTAATAACGAATCAGTTTTTGTCAACACTCTTCAATCTGGATTTGTTACTATTAACAGCTTAGTCTTTTGTGCACAAAGTTCTTATATGCATTGGTAATTAGTTGAGAATGGACGCAACTGATACAATCTAGCTGTAATTACAAATTATGACTAATTCCACATGGTAATTAAACTGCGCTATAGTATCAACTGATATCTGGTTTATAATACTAAAGTAACAAATACTTCATTTTGTGAAGTGAATCTTGGATCATTTGCTAGAGCAAATTCTTGATTCCTGTCTAGAAATTCGAAGTATGTAGAGTAGTTATTCTATTTGTTAAGATTAATTAGCTCTATTATCTAGGTATACAGCATTAAATAGCTGCCTATTTTAATATTATATTTCACTTCACGAATTCGATTATCGGCGAGTTAATTGAAATTTGTCATACAGATACTGGTATATGATTAGAATAGACCTTGCTGTCACTCTTTGAAAAGAGGTCTGTCAAGTAAAATCTTTACAATTTCCCGTATAATAACTGTAGCATGTTTTAAGATTTCGTTATAATGTAATTTCTTTATTGCATCTGGTTGTTTTATGCATAATTATGCATACTTGTAGTTTAGTGGTAATAAGCGATTGGCTAATTTTAGCCGTTTTTCTAGTCAAGGATGCTCGGAACAAAATGAATTGAAATGTATATTTGTGGTTAAAAAGGTATCCTTTGTAGTCAAAGTAATATTTCTATACTTTTCTATTTCAGTTATATACCTGCAGTTAAAGAGAATAACAAATTACGACCTTTGTAATTAGCATAAAGCTGTTGCCAATAGCTCAGTAGTCTAGTTGCTTATGGTATTGCAATATTGAGCGGCTGGTGGTAATGTTTTCATATTTTGAATGGAATGATATCTTTCTCTCACTGATGAATACTGGCATTATTTCCATAAAATGGGACTATTTATTGAATTATAATGCTAAAGAAAGACAATGAAGAATAAATATCTGCATAAACCCTATTATTTATGGCAGGAAGTTTGTGACAGTATCATTAATTGGTTCTTGTTTTTGCATTTTAGACGTGTATTTTGTGAAAGCTGTTGACCCTAACCAATTTATTTGGTTTGAGACAGGGGTGAATATCGAGTTGTTTATGAAATTTAAAATTCCGTCAATTCTATCCATTATGCTATCGAGGCTATAAATTTGATTTTGGTTATGTTTTATATATGATTCACATTCAATTGGAAAACAAATTGACAATCTTTGATGTTTAGATGATCGCTATCATCCTGTATTGAATTTTATTGAAAATTAATCAACTTTAAGATATGAAAAGGTACATACATATTTCGCCCCCACCCCCCGAAAAAATCAAAAATTAAGAATATGATTTACGTATAGTAAAATTGACGTACCATTAAGAAATATAATCATGATTGTTAAGATCGTTTCATCATCTTATGCTAACAAATTCTTTCATATTGATAGAATAAAGTTCACTCTCCTTCTATAGGAATACGTGAATTTGACCAATCAATCTATCGCTATCATTGTAATTTTACTGTTCATAGCTTATTCTTGGCATTTTATTTATCTATACAACAGTCAGAAATAGAAAGTTAAAATAAATATTCTTATAGTCTAATTCAATCGTTGTCTACATCAGTAATTATACTAGTGTAAGGCTGTATGGAACTAGTTCAAAACCACAACTTGTTTATGTCTTAAATCAATTTGTTGATGTGCATTAAGAGATGCACTGTCGAAAATAAATTTTATAGTATTAATCAAAATTATGAATGACTATGTCAACTATTGCAATTGTCATTGTTTCTAAATCAAGTCTTGGACGCTTACTGACTTCCATATTTATAGTGAATTTAATAACTGTTTAGTTTAAGAAAAAATGACATCATTGTTTATAAAGAAATGAGATGCAATTTTTTCCCTCTCTTATACTATAACAATAAAAATAAGTTTTACAACACGTGTCTTTCCAAAATAGTATTTAATCCACATGATACATGAAAGTGAAATGGATGAAATTAGCCTTCCAGAATGGATCCTTGATTGAATCAGTCCATGCTAATAACACCCTAGTCGAGAGAAAGAGGTCCAAATTGGAATGATTACAATAAAACTGAAAGCGGTACATAATGTCGATCCGATTTCCCATGTGTTGAACTTATTTCATTTAGGTGATTGACTTGAATTGTTCCAAGTTGAAGATGATATTCTTGTCAATAGTCTAGGATGCCATCTTCCGCCTTTCAGTCTTGAGTTGATTAAAACGATGAACGATTAAATTGGCAACTCAGGATCATTAAGATGTTGAAGATTGTTTGGCTAGTTAACGGATCAAGTTGATCATCCCTTGGAGATAGCGTTCTTTCCAGATCAAATCGATGATAACATAGATGGTAAAGTCTAATTATGGATATGCCATATCTCAGTTTATCGAGTCTATCGCCCGGAAAGTTTAAACCAGATTTCTCTTCCTTTACTTCCAGTATAGGAAGAGAATCGTCCATTTTCCCCTCCACATCTTGTTCTTCAATTCCATTGCATGCGATTCACCATCGATTGGATGACAATCGCGATTGTCATGTCAAACGGCTGAAATGACCTCTGGAGTTGACGTGGATAGATGAAGCGTGTATAGAAATGATAAACGTTACGTTGTACAATGGTTAGCATGACAATCTGCGTGTCAGGCTAACCCTATGCAGAGGAGGCATTACTGCAGATGGAAATTGGCGAAAAAAAACATCAAGTCGTTCATTTTCCTGTCATCATGTCTTCATCCAAGGACATCTGTCAAGACATGGCGTCAAAATGAGAACCCAAAATTTCATAGTGGATCCAAAGGACTTCCTTGACACAGATATCGCCAGTTGATTGATAGGACACTGAAAAAATTTTCCATCTCCAATCAGGCGTGCTGATGTTTGGCGTCAACACACCCATTGCCGATAAGATAACAGTCGTGTCAATCAATCCAGGGTTGTTTTCTTCTTTCACTGAGTGTGTATAGAACATGATAGAAAGCCTTGCGATAGATATCGTGGTAATCTCACGCTTGACCTATTCATCCGCTCGCCTCACCCATTCAGTACGGATGACGAATAGAATAGGGTGACAGCAATAGGATTGTTTTGGATAGCATCAATGTCGTACCGGGTTTCACTCTTGTAGTTTGTTGTCGCTGTCATTGGTGTCATCAACATCGCCAGTCAGTCGTTTTTTGGCGTCAATTGATGGACAATCACCTGTCGTGCCTTTGACGTGTGAAATTATACAAGCAATCAGAGCAATTCCAATGGACGATTTTCATCGTCTTCTTGCTCATTCAAATCCACTTAGTTGGTGTTGTTTTCGTCTATTTCATGGCTAGACTTACATCATAAGTGGAAATGAACCATTTTTAATCATGAAATATGAACTATTTCTTGATGTAATACGATCCACTCTTGGACCCAATAGATTTCCAAGGCGATAGAAAGATCAATTTGAAATCGATCGCCATTTGATTAAGAGCAGCTTCAATTATTTGCTTTACTATTTCTTGACGTAATACGATCCACTCTTGGACCCAATAGATTTCCAAGGCGATAGAAAGATCAATTTGAAATCGATCGCCATTTGACTAAGAGCAGCTTCAATTATTTGCTTTACTTCTTTTTAGTACAGATCAAGGTGTAGTGATTTTGCTTTGCTATAGGAAGGCAAAAGCATGTCAAGTGGGTTATAGAGTCCAAAATGTACTTTGATCCAATATCCAGACCAATGACGTAATGTTGCTCAAAATTGACATAACATAGGAATAACAACTGCTACCGGTAGTCCATTATCACTATTGTAAACGTGCTAAATCTGTCGTCCAAAATTTGTGGTGATAGTTAAATAGATTTGACCTTCAACAAATGGTTGTAAACTTGCCTATGTATTTATGATGAGAGTCTAGCATATTTTAAATTAAATGTTATTGCACATCGAGTGTTAGTGATCTTCCAAGTAATGCTTTATGATGTTGACGAGGAGGTTTATGATCCAAATTGCTGACAAATCGATTAGCAATAATAACTTTAGAAAATCTTCTTTTCAGATTGCACTTACGACGATCCATACTCTTATTGTGTGGCCCTTCTAATAGTGCTTCGGCAATTCGATCAAAAACTGCCGAAACATTATGACCAGTTTTAGCTGATGTTTCCATATAAATGGATTTGGAAGCAATATCATCAATATCATCATCTAGAACTTGTCGATCACTTTCAAGATCGCATTTATTACCTACTAAATAAATTTCTTTACGACCACGACCACCGATTACGTCCAAAACTTCTTTATAGATCTCTTTGACGTAATCAAAGGTTGATTTATCGTCCAATGCAAATACCAATACAATTGTGTCAGCCTTGCGAATTGTTAATCGACGCATTTCTGGAAATGAATAGTATCCAGCAGTGTCCATAATTTCTAATGTCATACGGCAGCCTTGAGCAATTATTTCTTTCTTATAGAATTCATCGACGGTCGGTTCATGCTCAATATTAAATTCATTATCGAGATAGCGTTTGACCAAGCAAGTTTTACCTAATATCGATAGAGAATCAATTACGCATCAGAAAAGAGGTGAGAAATCCGCCGCATCAATCAATCTTTGGTTGGTATTTTTAAATAAAGTAGTCCAGACAATTGATTGAATCGTCCAAAAATATTGTAATCAACAACTTTCAATTTTATAAATTAAACGACAGTTGTTCCTTATTATTCCATTTCTGAAACATAGTAATGAATTCTTTGCTTTTCAACTTATTGTTGCTGTTCATTCTTGATCAATACTGATTACTATTATTTTAACCTTATCTTAGAATGGAGAAATGTCTATATGCTGTAATAGAAAACAATCCAATTTTCTATTCGGGGCATAAATCAATATGGATATTAGTATTGATTTATATTGACAGTCCCTCCTTGTCTACAGTAGGTCAACACACAGCCATATAATTACTACAACAAACATAGTAAATTACCAATAAGGAAGGAATAGAAGGAACTTCGTCAAAATGTGAAAATTCAATAAAGGTTTAAAATACTGCTAATGTTAAATGCGAATAAAGACGTGATATGAATTGAAAGCAGAGACAATCACTACATTGTATCACGTCAGTATATCTCTCCAATGCATCCATTTTATCATCGTAGCTTGCTACTTTTAGAGTTTGAATTTCTAGGAGCAGGCTTCCATTAAAACCATAAGGTGTTAATTAAATTGGTAGCGTTAACTAGTATAACTTATTGCATGCTTGAACCGCTCATCTGTACCAAGGCACGATAGCAGATGATTTTACTAAAGTTAGTGTCTTTACTTCTCACTTAAGGCACTACTGTAATGCGATCCGTACTAAATGCAATTGACTTAGAATCTAAGATAAAAGAATAGTAGCTGATTTAAACATAATTCCAATTTCAAAGTCAGTAATCAGCCAATATTCGAATAAATCAACTCCCGTAATAGCGTAATACTTAAATATGCAATCTAATAGGCAAGCTACTATCACAATGTGATACTTTAATAAGGTAGAAGATATCGAAATAATTTATATATACTATTTATAGTTTATCTATTTGACTGAGAAAGGAAATACAGTTCGGAAATAACGAATAAATTAATTGTGCCATGTTTATCTTTTGCTTAGCGTACTGCTTTATAAATTGTTAAAAGTGTACCGCATAAAATTTTGATAAGAAGTATTACATATATGATGTTTTAAACCTAGATATAGTATATAGTAGGTCACTCAAGGCTATTTCACCTGCATTAAATATTCTATCGATACCGGATAAATTAATTTAGGAAATAATATTAATTAAAAATTGCTTCGGTATTGCTTTCCAAAAACCATTACAAATAGCTGATAGTAATGTAAACAGTTTTTTCCCGACAACACTGAGCAGTCGGCTCCACTTCCAGCCTACGGTTAATCAACTATTCGTGGTTATACATGTAAATTATCGACAACCTAATATCTATCCTCAATGTCTTCTCTAAAATATAGAGCATTCTCCTATCTTTGAATTGTTAAGAAATTTTAGCATAGTTTTAAGTTGATAATAAGAATGGTCTTTTCCTAGTGTATGGTACGTGCTTATAGTTTTATTGCATATTTACAGTATATCGTGACCTTTAAAATTAAAATCGATTCTGTGAAATGATAGTATAATCGAGAAATAATTGTTATGGACCATCGTATAAATGTCAATTTACCTATCTACAACGATTAATTAGCATGTAGATTTTAGGAATAAATGACCATTCAGTAGGATTGGTACCATTCTACCAAATTACGCAGTATATGAAAGTGCAGTATAAAAACTAAAACTGCGTGTGTCTTGATCCATAAACTAAGTCACAAACTTGAATTTTGGGCCATCTATGTAATTCTGCCAATTGTTAGTCAATGATTTATCCTTTAAATCTTGAATAATTTATAAAGTCTCAATCAAATCTACCGTAGATCTTTTTGTATTTTAATAATCAATTTAATCTAACTAGCTATAATAAATTACGTAAAGTAATATGATGATCACATAAGACTTAAACTACTTGACGATATCAGTTATTTTGCAAGAAATTTAATAGAATGTCTCTACTGATGCAGCTGATCAAATTTAAAAAAATGGATTATCTGTATATTATAGTGTAGAAATAGAGGGTGTATATGATGAATGGGCTTTGTCCATACTATCTTGTTGATTTCGAAACAAAATTCTACATTACGAAATACAGAAATCAAAGTAAATGCCAAGAAAATGACTTACCCACTGCTGCTGTTCCTAGCACCGCTACGCGATGGCAACGAATTTGACGCTGTAACATTTTTAGAACTTGATATTGGATATCAGCCGATGTTGGCATTCGGTTATAACAAAATGCAATAATATTAATTAGCGAATAAAAGGAACTTAACCAGGCCAATGGATGGAGTAAGTACACGTTATCGATCGTTTATAGAGAGCAAATGATTAATAAAAATCAAACCACTCTAATTTCTCTATCCTAAATTTCAATCCTGGTTTCAAATTTCGAAAAGACCGTATTAGCTTTTTGATCATAGATTCAAAGTCATAAAATTGAATTTTATCGACTCTTAAGTTGAGCTCAAAATCGATTACAGGAAATCAATACTAGAGAAATAATTTTACTTGAACAGCATAGACAAATTATGAGGTTATGTATTAGATTACAGTAATCAGACTTACTCGTTATGTTAATTGTGTAGTAGGTAATAGAAGCTTCGGCTTTCCTATTGCTAGTATCACAGTGATGTTGACGATAAGAGATGATGGATCAACTGATGAGAGAATTAAATGGGTTTCTGGTTACATAGATATTTAAAAAGGCAGATAAAAGATCGTAACAAATCAAATTAACAATACGGATGGCTAAAGATAGACAATTCTGTCTCCTTCGGGGCTAGATAATACCTAATATAGAATTAAAGAGGAGTTACTAAGCATAATATCATGTCATTCATACAATATCGACAAAGGTACCAAGAATTTTATGAAATACTTTCAATTTTCAATGGAAAATGATAATACCTTATAGACTTATTGGAAATATTAATGAAATATTCACAATGGCATTGTCTAATTTTAAAATCAATGATACACCCTGGCATGTTGTCAAGTGGATGACAATTTACTTCTGGTCTATTATTTGAATAATTTATAATGAAATGACTGCAACGTATAGAAATGAAGTAGAAAGGTAGACTCTATTCAACCATGAAAACATTTACGATGGCCAACCCATCGCTTGGAAAAGATATTGTTCTATTGATTAATGCTTTACTGATGATAACGAAATGAGTGCATGATTATATTAGTATTGATTTGAGTTAATCTACAACTCACGTATTTATTCCACCTATCTTAACTGCCAGCTATTATTCTCATACAGGCTTGCCCCCTCCTCTTTAACCATGGCCTACTGTGTCAATGCAGTTTATGTTAATATAAAATCTAACTACCGCCACATTGTTATTTAGTGGCACGTAATCACTGTTAGCAGTTTATGCCTATAACCACACAGTATAGACTAGAAATAGTAATTGAAGCTTTAATAAATTGAGTTTATTTTTATTTTTCGCAGTGATAACCTTACTTGTATCAGTGATTTAGAACATTTTTCTAAATAACCGATTTTGCATCCGGATACGTTCATAGCTATATTATAGACGACTTTTAAGTCCATAGATAGTATTTGTATATATATTATACTAAAAGGATCGTAAAAGGCTAAAAATATTTATTTATGCCTGTAACTGAATTATATATTCATAAATCATATCATTAGTAAAGCAAACATCTTTGAACCAATAACTTAGATTTAGTATTTTACCAAGTTTACCGTCATTCACATAAAATAAACGGTAATACAACGTTTGTGTGAGAAATATTATAAATTTCACTTCCCTTTTCGTTTTAGATAGTACTATAGCATGAACGGCTTTTGTTTTGATCTTTTATTATTCATATTTAATTTCTCCTCCTACTAGAAATGAACACTACAGAATGTAGGATATTTCACCATCATATTGGATTATATAATTTGATATAGGGAAGGATGTACGCTGTTGACAGCATATGCTGGCCTTGATTTTAATGTGTTAGCAAAATAAGTACCATAGTAAAATGAATCAAATCGTCTTAATTCGGTGAATAATATAGAATTCCTGCATTTATCCATATGTTAGTAATTTACCTAGAGAACACTGGAAACAATAGGGTGAAATACTATTTTTTAGCTCTTTCGTCATTTTAGGCAATATCTTGCAGCGCAGGCAAGATATTGTTATAAACCGATTTGATGTTTGTTATTGATTGAAATAATATAATTGCTATGAATGATAATTACAGCCAATTTATATCCGTTTATCATTTAATAATAATAAAATTGCCCGACATAAAATAATCCAAACTAAAGTAAGAAATATATAGAAAAAAGATAAATAACAATTGCTCATATATTAATGAAAAACGTCGCCACTGTCCAAGAATTTTATTTATTACAGAATAAAGTAACAAGCAATATATCTTTCATTATTAATGATAATAATTGTTGTAGGTGTGTTTCATTTTTATTTTTATTCATTGCATTATCTTCAGGAGCGATCTTACATTTATGGATTACGCTGATTAATTTCGCTCATCAATCTTCTAACCGTGTACACGTCATGTAGAAAATGAATTACTATGCGTAGGAGCTAATAATACTGGATATCAGCGTAATCATTCTATTCAAATTTTCATTTGGAAATGATTAAGACTTTCTATTTATGTAATTATGACATATTTCAAAAGCTCATACATGCATTTGTAGGTAGAAATGGATAATTTCAGTGTCTATTTATGGCGGGTGATCAGTTTAATGCCGCTGTATTATGACTAATCATGTCAATAAGTGGAACTCTTTTCGCACCGCCTTTCATCTTGCATTAGGTAATATAGGAAATTTGTATGCCTAAGGGTAATTTACTTACTGTCAAAGAAATCATCGAGACGAGTCATAGGGTATTTTGGAGAATAATAACGTAAAAATCGAAAAATAGTAGGCTGAAGCCATAGTAATGCATCATAGCTTCATAATTTATTTAAATTAAAGAGATTAGATTTTTTATCGGTACTTTTAAATCGAATAACTATCTTTCTAGCATACTAGATCGTAGCTATTTTAACTATGATTGATGTAATACTTATCGTCATAGGAAAACTAAAGGTATCTTGCAAAGAGAAAGTGCGTAAAACACAATCCAAGTATCTTCAATTTCCATTTTATTTACACAAAATAAACTATTGGGAATGATAACGATGAATAATTTACACTATGATTGTTAATAGATATGAAACAGTGCTACACTAGAAAGTTCTGCTTCGGCTGATATTGCCTTTTTGCTTTATACCGTAAATTTTTCTAAATTTATCGATTACACCATCAGATAGGTATCAAATTCTGTCATGCTACATTAATACGATATATGCAACATTTTTAATTATATTAACTAGCCAAAGGCATTATTTGGTTGATTTTATCACAGTTTATTGATAGTACGATAATGCAGGTTACTATAGTAAATCATTGTTTACTTTGACGAAAGGGAAAATTTCCATTTTATTGAAATATTTGCTTCATGACGTCGTTTTTGCGGGAAATAAAACAATTCTTCCTCTGTAGATAGTACTATCTACTGATGTTTAAATAGTTGTATGGTCGCTATTCGATGTCACGAAAGAATTAATAAAATTCTGCAATGTGAACACATGTTAAAGTGAGGAAATTTCGTTTGAAACCATATCAAAATACACAGCTTTGCAGCCGTATAGTAAGTAATACGGCCAATGGGCATAATAACAGAATAGTAAAGGCACTACTTTCTGTTGATATTTTTCAACAGGGCAGTAAGTTCTTTCTTATCTATGTGTATCGTACCACGACGAAATAGATTATTGATTTCTTATCTAATGATTTAAAAATAATTATAATAACATAAGAAGATTATGAAATTTCATAACTATTTAGATTGACTATTCTCTCACCTTTTCATTTAATTTAGGTCTTCAACTAAAATTGTTATCATCTGATCGCCTCAAATTTATCATATTATACACAAATACTACAGAATAGTTTTATATTTCGTGAAACTAAAACATAACGTAATTTGAATAAATAGTAACAACTAAAGTAAATAAACCACAGTAACTAGAAATATTTAACTGACAATTGATGTTCATCTGTAGCCATAAATCTAGCAATTCTAGTACGGTCGAGACTATTATATGAAATGTTCTTGTATTCGTATAATGGTGTATAGAAACACTTTCATTTTATTGCGGCCCCTTGATTCTGCAATTATCAAATTAATGCTTTTCAATACCTTTAAAACAATAAAGCTTATTCCTTCAGGAAGATGTAATGATTTTACTAAGATTTCATAGATCTCTAGCTATTAATTGAAAAAATGTTATCTACTGCCATTGCTAGCTGTTTGCGTCCATGTAGTGTAAAATAAATTTGGTTATAGATGCAAACAATCTTAACACTTTATCTTTCATCGGTTAGTCCCATTAATCGAAAGATATTGAGAGTGAATAAGGTCAAAAAATGAAAAATTGAACCTAACAAGATTGAACATATTTCTATAATACATTAGTGAATCGGTAGGCATTAACTTCACCAACTGCTACTGTAGTATAAAAGTACCTTTTAAGGTGAATAAGTATTATCCCGTTATATTTGCAGCATTATGAGTAGGGAAGTATTAGCAGCGATATGGCACATTCTTTTCATTGATGCATATCCTTGACAGTGGTTACAGTCTACCCACTCGTGGAATTGTAGAGGAGAATTGATCCCTTTATAAATCTTGATTGACACTAAGAACAGTATGGCGACAACTTTCTGCAACACATCAAGATTAAATATTTTCTCCGTAAGCATCTGTGATCGGCAAAAATCTGCATTCTAATCTTCATATTTTTGTCACCGTTCATATACTCGTTAATATTAATTATATATTCGAGGATGTTATAACAATGTTTTAATGGAATAATTGTATTTTTAACTTGAAATTTATGTTTATCACTACTACTTAAATTCGTAATAGTCAGTTCTGCTTTTACTGATATCGTCTATTTTTTTAACTGATTCATTTGCTAGACACACAATCTATTTCACTGATGTGCCGCTAAGTGATTGATAATCTCTTCAAGCTATAAATTGAGGTTCTATTTTAAAAAGAAAGATTTTCTTCAGAGATTTTTACGCGTCACTACTATCCTCTAATTCCCACAGAAACCGATTAATGCTGATAATACATTATTATGATGATGATGATGCTATTGAAGATGACAATT